CTGGGGCACAGAACCCCAGAACGGGAGAGACCCTGGGGCACAGAACCGCAGAACTGGAGAGACCTTAGGTCACACAAGGGACCTTAGAACAGGGAGTGTCAGAGCCCAGCCGCACCTCCGGATGTCCAACAGCCAATGTCGGCGGTGGAGGAATGTCAGACCTAGAGGTCACCGGCAGCAGAGAGAGGGGCAGTGACCAGTCCAAGGTCACCAGCAGCCCGGGCCGGTGCCCTGCCTCCCCGTCCGCATTCCCCGCGCCCGGCTCCCCGGGCTCAGTGCCTCCCTCCGCGTTGCCGCGATGACCCCGGGGGGGGGGCTGGCGGGCGGGGCGCCCCTCCGGCCCCTCCCACGACCCCCGCCCGGTCCGGGCTGGCCCCCCGCGGCGCGCGCTCACCCAGGTAGCGCACCCACGTGTCGCGGTAGAGGTCGGGCTGGGCATCTCGGCCAGAGTCCGAGTCCGGCATGGCGCGCGCCGGGAAGGGGCGGCCCCCGCGCTGGCCACTGGCCCCGGCCCCGCAGCACGTTCTCTCCGGCCGGGCCGGGGAGCGTCTGCAAACTACGCGGTTTGCAGCGCGCGCGAGCACAGCCCCGCGCACACACCAATGCACACACGCGGGGGTCCGGGCCCAGACTCTTGGAGGCCGGATGGGAAGCCGAGGCCCCGCCTCCGGGGCGGTCTGAACGCAGAGCCCGCCGCCACTCCCCATGCTCCGTCTCGTCTTCCAGGCTTGAGCCCGGCATGGGACCTTGGACCCAACCTTCCCCCGTCCTACAGCTCAGGAAACTGAGGCCCAGAGAGGGATCACGGTGGGCTGGCGGGGCTCAAAGATTTGGTTTTACAGATGAGGAAACAGGCCCACAGAGGTGAAAGGACTTGCCCAGGTTCCCGCGGTGTCCAAGGGAGCATTCGAACCCTGGCTCCGAGTCCAGCCTTCCATGTTATTGCTCCATGCTGGAGAAGGGACTTGCCCAAGGTCACACAGCTAGGAAACTGTGAGGTCAGAATTTGGCTCTTAGGATGAGAAGGGACCCCAGAGGTCATCTGGTCGAGTCCAACCTCCTCACTTTACAGAGGGGGAAACTGAGGCCCAGGGAAGTGAAGTGGAACTTGGAGTCAGGAAGACCATCCTCAAATCCGGTCTCAGATACCGTGTGACCCTCGGACCTCTCCGAGCCTCAGTTTCCCCATTTGTGAAATGGGGGGTGGACTGGAGGACCCGCAAGGTCCTTCCGGTTGTAAATCTGTGGTCCTGTGATGCATGCAGGCTGTCACAGAGGTCGGATTTGAACCCAGGCCCGGTGAGGCCACGGCCAGCAGCTGTCACACCCTCTGCGGGCAAGGAGGCCGAGCCCCTCGGGCTGTGCTCCCGGGGCCCGGAGCCCAGCAGAGCTTCCTGGCGGCTTATCCCGGCCCCCTGCCTCAGTCTACCTCCTGCGCCCTGGGGGCCTTCCAGCCCCAGGTGCGGGGGGCCTCAAGAGATGCAGGGAGGCTGGGGGGGCATCGGAGGACTGGAGGGCCCCCCATTCCGGAAAGCATCGAGCCTGGGGGCGCCTGCATGGCACCGGCCCCCCGCTGGGGAGTTAACGTCTGCAGGAGGGGCCCCCCGACCCTCCCCATTACAGGCTCATGGTTGCCTCTGCGGGCACCCACCTCACTCCCACCCCCACCCTCCAGGGCGCCCGCTCTTCATTTTTCAGCCTGTCCCCAGTGCCTAGCACGGTGCCTGGAGCACAGCAGCGCTTACACGTGAGGCCCGGGGAGTGGAATCAGGATCCCTGTGGGTCGGGGAGGCAGGAGGAGGGGCTTGGCCTAGGCCCCTCCCACGAGGCTGGGGGTGGGGGAGGGCGTCCTGCGGCACCCAGAAGGGCAGCACTGGGGAATCCCAGGGAACTTTGTGGGTCCGAGGGCCTCAGGAGGTCTGAGGTGGGGGGCCTGGGCGGGACTTGGGGGCGACAGGCAAAGGGGTTCCCGAACCCCCAAAATGGAATTCGGAGACAATCCCTAGAGCCACGTGGCTTCCTCCAGCTCGGTTCCCCCTCTCCCCACCCCTCGCCCTCCGAGCTCCCCCAGAGCCTGCTGCGGCTGCACGTCCCTAGGTCCTCCCAGACCACGTGGGGACACCTCTACGGCACCGCCGAGCCCTGGGTTTCCGGGAGCGGGACTTCCGCCCTCACTTGGAAACCAACACTTGTTGCCCTCAGTAAATATGGTGGGATCACACGCCCACCAGCCCATCCAATGACAGGAGCTCCAGTGCGCAAGCGCACTCGCTCTTTTAGCATAGAACCACCGAGACTGAAGGCTCTGTCCTTTGGTCGATGATCTCAGCGTTTGAAGTTCTCTGGCGCCCCCCAGAGGGAGGTGGTAAAGACAACACGGCAGGGAAAAAAGGCTGGAGAGCCAGAATCACATAGATTTCTTTATTTGTTGGTTAATTTTCCTAACAGAGCATTTGTAAACCGAGACACCCTCCAACCCAGGGCCCCCCAACTCTGAGGGTAGCCAGCTCTGGGAGTATTCAGTTCACCCCATACCTGAGCAAGAATCCCCTCTACAGCATCCTTGACCAAGTGGGTATCCTGCCTCCACTTGAATAGTTCCAGTGATGGGGAGCTCACTACCTATCACAACCTGCCCCATTCCCCAGAGAATCACAGACTCTCCAGAGCTGGAAAGGTTCCAAGGGCTCTAGGTATCCTGCCTAAGGAATCCCTAACAAATGGCCTCTGAGCCTCCCTTTGAGCATTTCCAGTGATGGGGAGCTCACTACCTATCCAGGCTACTCATTGCACTTCTAAATAGCTCATATTGTTAGAAAAGTTGGGGGTTTTTTTTGCCTTAAATCAACTGAAGAAGTCTGCCTCCTTCCTACCCACTACTCCTGGCGCTGCCCATCAGGGCCAAGCCCTCAGAGGGTTTGAAGGGGAACACGGGCAGGTAGCCCTGGATTCCCTCTCTCATGAAAGACACACAGGAGGCCCTGGTCCCTACTTCCCAGCCCCCTGACTCCCTTGGTCATGCTGGGTGCCACACCTCTGGTACCTTGGACCTGACTACCTAAAGGAAAATGGATTTCTTTGAATTGGGGGAATGGTCCTTCCTCATCCCCAGGGGGCTTGAATTGGGGGAATGGTCCTTCCTCATCCCCAGGCTGCTTAAGCATCCAGTGACCAATGGCTCCATATCCAAGGGCTTTTCCCAGCCCCAGCCACGCACCTACCAGTCCCTGTGTCCCCCCTTTAGTCAAGAACCAGTGGGAGGGCAGAAGGAATCCTGAGGCCTTTGGAGGCCGATTCTAGCCTTGGCCCTGCCGTTAACTTAACAGGCGCTGACCTTGGTACAGTTCCTTCACCTTTCCAGGTCTCCGTTCTCTGCTCCTTAAAATGAAAGGGCTGCCAGAGACGCTTTCTACAGCCCGAATATTCTGTGCTTTTTTTCTCTTTGTGCCAATTTGGGGGCTGGGTTAGAGGTGGTGAGTTGATCTTACTGGGAACACCAGACTATAAGCCCCCTGAGGGCGGGGACAGTGTCTCATCTGTGCTTTGCACCTCCCTCTGTACTGCCCACAGAACAGAGGCCAGCAGTGCTGGGCAGGGGCCAGGCCTTGGGTATGGGTAGCTCTCAGTATTAATTATCAGTATTCATTAGTGATTAAGCCAATCTGGCCACAGGAAGCCCTGAATCTCTTAAAGCAGGGAACAGTCTGCAGGGACCTGTGCCTGACCTCCTTCTGTCCAGGAGGACCCCTCCCTTTCTGACCTAACATGGGGACAAAGCGCCCCCATGCCCAGCCTGGCCCCCTGATATCAGCTACCTCCAGGAATGGGCTTCTCAGGGCCCAGGCCCAGAGTCTGGATGTCGAATGCCAACCACCCCCCGACCCTTCTTCCCTCACCCATATCTGGCTCCCTTTCCCCCAGCCTGGGGGAGCTGGCCTGGGACAGAAACTGAGGTTGGCACGAGTCAAAGGATGGACAGATCCCATCAGCGCCCAGCACCCATGGAACCCCGAGTTCAGCTGGAGGGTAGAAAGAGGGGAGGGGGCAGGGGAAGGGACCTCTCCTGAGCCACCCTGCCTCTGTCTACCCCCCAAGCTCTCCCCTCTCACCCCATCTTCAGGCTGGGCTGAGCGCACCCCAAAGGTGAGGCAGGGGTGGGCACTGTCCTGACCTCGGCCCAGGTTCCCTAATAAAGAGATGCAGGGGGTGGGGTCTGGGCAGGGGCTGAGGCCAGGTGGCTGTGGCCTTCACTGCTGAGGAGCCATCCCCTTCTCTCCCAGCTGCTGCAGCCTCTCCTCTGAGGCCTTATCCGGGAGCAGCACCTCCACAGTGAAGCTGACCTTCTTGGCATGGATGAAGCTGTAGGTGTTGTCAAACCTCAGGACATCTGCAAGGGGACAGAGATGGGGAGGAAGGTTCTCATGTCAGAGAAGAGTCCCTGGGAAGGCAGGGCCGCCTCGGTGTTGTCTGGCACACAGTAGGTGTTAATGCATGATTGTTGATTGACTTGGGGACTCAGCCAGGTGGCAGTGAGGACACCAGGCCTGAGAACAGACCCAAACCTGGCAAAAGAAACCATTTTTAAAGCATTCCCCCACTGTCTAGGTTTTTACTAAGCCCTTCCTTTGAAACAACCCTGGAGAGCAATTGTGTCCATTCTAGAGATGAAGAAACTGAGGCTAGCAACTGAATGGGGGGGGTCTTAGACTCTCAGGGCTGGAGGGTCCTCCAAGTAAGGCATCCATACCTAGGCAAGCATCCCCACAACCATGGCGAGAAGGATGCTAGTTAGCATGGAATTGGCACCTTCAAGGCGGCACAGCTCTGCATCACACGTGAGACCTCGTTTAAACAACCGGGCTTCATCGGCTTGGGTTTTAATATAGGTATTTTGATAACTGCATTCCCCTATGATCGCTTCCCTTGTAATCCCAGAGTGTGGCGTTATCGTTCACCGTTATTCTGCGCAGGGCTTCAGCAGGCAGCCTGGGGGCGCGTCACCCACGGTGGGGAAAACCCTCAGGCTGGAACATCCCCCAACACGGGGCGCAGCGCTCCCTAAGAGGCTCACCAGTGGTTCCCCAGCCTCCATCAGCCCCAACGTCCCCCCGGCCCCTCGAACACAGAATCAAAGAAGCACAGTGTCCTGGAGGCAGGGCCAGACGGGCCCTCAAGGTCATGGAAGCTGAGAAAAATGAGCTGGAGAGAGACCGGGTCCACAGCTAGTCACAGTCAGCGGCAGGACTGGCACTCGGGTCTTGCCAGCCCATTCCTCTATCTCCTTCACTACCCACTGCCTCGAAAAGAGGCAGAAAGAGTACTGAAGCCGGCAGGGATTTAGAGGGCACCTGGGTCAGCTCCCACCTGAAGGACAATCGCTCTCCAAAGGGCCTGACTGCTGGTCTTCCTCCCACCTGGGTTTAAAGAGCTCCTGGAAGGGGGAGCTGACCACGTCCTGAAACAAGCCATTTCTGCTTTGGGGAGGGAGGGAGAGAGAAAGAGTGAGAGGGAGGAAGGGAGAAAGAGGAGGGAGGCAGAGAGGGAGGGAGGGAGGGAGAAAGAGGAGGGAGGGAGAAAGAGAGGGAGGGAGAATGAGGAGGGAGGGAGGGAGGAAAAGAGAAAGGAGGGAGGGAGAAAGAGGAGGGAGGGAGGGAGAAAGAGAGAGAGGGAGGGAGAAAGAGGAAGGAGGGAGGGAGAAAGGGAGGGAGGGAGGAAGAGAGAGAGGGAGGGAGGGAGAAAGAGAGAGAGGGAGGGAGGAAGGGAGGGAGGAAGAGGAGGGAGGGAGGGAGGAAGGGAGGGAGGAAGAGAGAAAGGAGGGAGGAAGGGGAGGGAGGAAGGGGAGGGAGGAAGAGGATGGAGGGAGGGAGAAAGAGAGGGAGGGAGGGAGAAAGAGGGAGGGAGGGAGAAAGAGGGAGGGAGGGAGAAAGAGAGGGAGGGAGGGAAAAAGGGAGAGAGGGAGGGAGGAAGGAAGGGAGTTGACTCCATGGAAAGCTAGCATACACAAGTGCATTGGTGTGAATGAAGGAGTGAAGTGGAATGAGTGAATGGAGTGAATGAATGATGTGGAATAAGTGAAGTGGAAAGAATGAATGAAGTTATTTAATGAAGCCGAATGAATGAGTGAATGAATGAGTAACACGGAATAGATGAAGGAGTGACTCAGGGAGTGAATGAATGAATGATCTGAGTGAGTCATGAGCAAAGTGGAATTGATGAGAGCCCCTGGAGAATTGGGCCAGGTCTCCGGCGTACCAGTTTCTCCCCCGCATGCCTAGCCTGGGTCCAGCCAGGATGAGCCAGGTGGTGCAGTGGACAGGGCCAGGCACAGCCGGCCCACACTGGCTTCCAGACAGACTTGGGTACCTCTCCTAGGGAGGCCCCCCTGCTCCCATCGAGGGGTCTTCCTCTGCTAATGAGATCCCCGACGATCGCTGGCCCCTGGCTCTCCTCAGGTGCGCCTGAGCCCGGTGTCCAGCCTGGCCAGGGAGGGGCTCTCAGGCCCCATGCGGCCTGTACTGGGCCCTCTCCCGGCAGCTGACGATTCCATCGAATCCTCCCTGCCAGGCACCTGCCCCGGGTGGAACCGTGGCAGGCCCAGACCTCTGTCCGGCTTCCAGGGGGGCTGGGGTGGCTCGGCTGCCCGGCTGTCTCTATATGTGGCCGGACCTGGGGTCGAGTTTATATGGGTGTGTGTGCACCCAGAACTTGGCCCAATGGTTGGCACACAGTAGGTGCTTAACGAATGCTTACTGACCGATTCACAGGGATGCTGCATACCCCTGGAAAGGTTAAGCCGAGCCATCTGTGTCCCGGAGAGTGAGGAGGCCGGGCCAAGGATGGGGTTGGGGCCGCTTTATCCTATTCTGCCCCTAGGATGACGTCCCTGGGCCTGTACCTTCCTACCCTCAGTTTCCCTTCTGGGAAAAATCAGAGGCTTTGCAAGGTGGCACAATGGAAAGGTTACTGATCTTGGAGTCACAAAGTCCTGGGTTCAAATATCTCTGTTTAAAATGTATTACCTGTGTGACCCTGGGATAGTTACCCAGCCTCTCTGGGCCATGGTTTCCACATCCGTAAAATCAGGGGGTTGGGCTACTCATCGACCTCTAAGGTCAATACCGACTCTCAGCCTCCCACCCCAAGTCTCCTGACATCTCAGCCTCAGTTTGCTCATCTACAAAATGGGGCTGAGAAAAACGCCACTGTAAGGCTCCAGCATGATAATCAATGGCGGTAAAGCCGACCTGAAGGTGCTCTAGGAACACTAGTGTAATGATTAACATCTTCCCTGCCACCTCTCATGAGAGGCCTTGGACCAGTCCTTGTTATCACTAAAGCCCAGGCCAGGCCAGCTAGCGCTAGTTGGGGTGGGAGGAGGCTGAAGGTGAAGGCTGGGCTTGGTGGGGTGTGTAGGTGAGTGTGAGGTATGCATGGAGGTAAGTGTGGGTAGGTGTGTGTGTGTGTATGTGTAGGGGGAGTGTGGGTATATGTGTGTGAGTGTGTGGGTGGTTATGTAGGTGAGTGTGTGCGTGAGGGGTATATGGGGGTGTTGGGGGGAAGTGTGTATTTGAATGTGTGGGTGTGGGGGGATGAGTGTGGGGCATATGGGTGGGAAAGTGAGTGTGGGTGGGTGTATGTGGGGGGTAAATGTATGTGAGGTGGAGGGGTGAGTGTGGGTATGGAGGGGTGAGTGTATGAGCAGCCATGGGTAGGTATGTGAAGTGTGTGTGAATGTGTGGGAGTATGGGGGGGTGAGTGTGGGTAGGTATGTGAGTATGTGGGGGGGGGTGAGTGGGTGGGTGGGTGTGGGGTGAGTGTGTGGGGGTGTGTGTGAGTGTGGGAGAGTGTGTGTGTGAATGTGTGGGGTAAGTGTGAGTGCTGTGTGGGGTATGGGGGGGTGAGTGTGAGTAGGTGTGTGAGTGTGTAGGTGGGTGTGTGGGGTGAGGAGGGCATGGGGGCCCGAGGCGTACATACAAGGCCCCGGCGCATGGAGGCCTTGGGGTTGGGGGCGGTCCAGGAGGGCTGAGGAGGTGTTCATCACACACACACCTCAGCAGTGGGAATCCTGGTCCACCCCGATCTGGGCTGCCATGGAGATGAGCCGCCGCCATCTCCCCTGTGCCCCATCACTGCTCGTTCTGTCACCGCCCCCTCCCCATGGGCCTGGCCCTGATGAGGTGGGGGGGGAGCTGAGGGACCTGGAGCTTCCCATCTCCCCTAATTGGGCTCCTGGGGGTTCTCAGAGCTCAGTGATCACCGTAAGCCTCACATCTGCCCGGCAGCCAGTTCTCTGAGTGGTCTGTCAGCGAACAGAAGCCCACGGAGAGGTCTGGCCTTGGATGCTAGGCACCAAGGTCTGGGGCTGGAACCCAAGTGATCTTGACTTCCAGGAGGGGGAGAGTGAGGTCTTCTAAACTTTATGATTTAATAGTTATAAAATGAGGAATCTATGCCCCATCTACCCATAGCTCTGACATCCCCTGTTCTAAGGCCCTTCCCAGCTCTGACATCCCCTGTTCTGAGGCCCCTCCCAGCCCTGACATCCCCTGTTCTAAGGCCCCTCCCAGCTCTGCCATCCCCTATTCTAAGGCCCTTCCCAGCCCCCAGTCTGACATCCCCTGTTCTAAGGCCCCTCCCAGTTCTGACATCCCCTGTTCTCAGGCCCCTCCCAGCTCTGACATTCCCTGTTCTAAGGCCCCTCCACCAGCTCTGACATCCCCTGTTCTGAGGCCTCTCCCACCTCTGACATCCCCTGTTCTAAGGCCCCTCCACCAGCTCTGACATCCCCTGTTCTCAGGCCCCTCCCAGCTCTGACATCCCCTGTTCTAAGGCCCCTCCACCAGTTCTGACATCCCCTGTTCTCAGGCCCCTCCTAGCTCTTATATTCTGTCATTCTGCGCTAAGTCCAAGCATCTCCTGGGGGAGGCGTCTTAAGTCAAGACAGAGGTGTACTTACAGACCCCAGGCTCGCTGCAGGTGAGCGTCCCATCCTCGGGGACCAGGTGGGCATTGTACCTCTGGCTGGGAAGTACCTCGGTCATCTCGCCCGCTCTCTGCCGCTCGCCAGCCTTTGTCTTCAGGAACACCCCAAAGCCCACGTCTGCCCCATCTGACATGAACTGCCACCTGCAAGCAGGCACAGACCTTAATCACAAGTGTCCCTCCCAGGCCCAGGCCTTTTTTGGGGCTAACAGCCCCAATCTGGCTTGAGAGACTAGAATCTGGGGCCAACGCTAATCAAATGACACGGAATAGCAATCAATGCAAACTCCCGCACTTGGGTCCAAAATGTCAATTGCACTGGTCAAGAATGGAAGCTGTGTGGCTGGCTAGACCACAGCTGGATGGAAAGAGACCTGGAGATTTTGTCAGACCCCGAGTCCAAAGACTCAGCTCTGTGACGAGGTCATTTAAAAAGTTAACAAGATCCTAATCTACACTGAGACGGACATTTGCTGGGGTCTCCTCCCCTCCCCCCCCAATTATTATTAATTGATTTTGTATAAGGCAATGTGGCTAGAGGACTGACCGTGTAGCCAGCAAACTCCAGGTTCAAGCCCTGCCTTTCGCACATGCCAGGGTGTGACCTTGGCCAATCCTCGAACCTCTCGATGTTCTGACCAACTCGCTAAAACTATTATGCGGCAGAGGAGGCGCTGGCTGGCCCCTCCACCCATGAAATCACAGGTCTAGCCCTAGTCCTTAATTTGCATATATTTGTATCTCATTGTATATGTCCATGTCTCCCCCTCCCCAATAGAATGTAAGATCCTCGCAGGCAGGCACTGTTGTGTTTTTAAAATGTTTGTATCTGTACCACCCGGCACATTATCTAGTACATAGTAGGTGCCTAATAAATGTTCGTAGATTGATTGATACATCCAGAACACAGAAGGCCCTGGTCAGACCCTATGTGGAATAGGGTTTTCAGGCCTGGGTTCCACAGTCCACCGTCTAGGAAGGCCAATGGTGGAGAGCAAACAAGATGGGGAGGGGCTGTGAGATCATGTCACGGGAGGTGGGACTGAGAGCACTGCGAATGCGAGGCAGAGAAAAAAAGAGTCAGTGGGACATGATCACTCAGTCAATAAACATTCATTAAGTGCCTATCGTGTGCCAGGCATTGTGCCACGTGCTGGTGGCTGTCTTCAAGCGTCTGAAGGGCGAATGTGTGGAAAAGGGACTTGGCAAAGCATCTGGCATACAGTAAGTACTTAATAAATGCTTATTGCCCACATGCCCAGACTTGGTCTGCAGAAACAGATACAATGGGCAGGAACTGCCAAAAAAGACTCAAGCTTGGCAGAAGCAAGAACTGAACTGAACCTCTCCCAAAGGGCTGCCTTGGGAGGGAGTGAGCTCCCCGTCGCTGAAGGTCTCCGGGCCTGTCAGGGCTGGACTAAAGGACCGAGGAGACGTCTCTGAAGAAGTCAGCTCCTGCCCTTCCCTGCTCAGCTCCTGCTAATTCTGGGGAAGGTGGGTAGGGCACCTGGAGGGTCTGGGCCCTCCCTTACCTGAGGACACAACCCGGGAAGAGGATCTCGTACTCCACCTGATGGGAGGAGCCCCTGTTGATCTGGACCGTGTGCTCATACTGCTGCTTTACCTGGTCCCGGATGTAATACTTCTTGGGGATTTCACCCCCGTAGTTGATCTGCAGGGAGCCCAGGGGGTGAGTGGGGGGCGGGAGGGGGAGGAGAAGTCCTGCCCCAGTTCTACCCCTCCCCCATCCCCTCTGGACCCTGGAGGCCCCATACCTTGGATTTGCACTTGGGGTCTCCGTTGGGATCTGTCATGGTGCCCCCATAATCCATGGGCAGCTGGTCTGGGCTGATATGCTTCAGTAAAATCTCCTTCCAGTTGGCTGGTGAAAAGAGGAGGCAGTGGGATCACCCAGGGGCAATTATTATTATTATTATTTTTTTTTTTTTGGCTCGGCAATGGAGTTAAGTGACTTGCCCAGGGCCACACAGCTAGTGAGTGTTTATGTGTCTGAGGCTGGATTTGAACTCAGGACCTCCTGACTCCAGGGCCAGTGCTGTATCCACTGTGCCACCCAGCTGCCCCTAGAGGTGCCATTATTTCCAGCGGATCCTGCATTTAGCTTGTTTGTCCATAGATGTCTCTCCCCCTCACCTGTGAGCTCACAGGAATTGTCTTTTACCTGCCTGGCATGTGCCTGGCATGTAATAGGTGCTTAATAAATATTTATTCAAATCCAAGATTAAAAAAACGGAAGGTTCTCTGAATCTCAGGAGCCCGGTGCTGGAAAGGTTGGTTGGCCCTATCCTCGGCACATTAGCCGGTCTCCCCAAGGCCTCTGTTTTCTATCCAGCTCCAGTCTCACTGGCTAACAATATCTTAGAGTATGAGAAACCACAGAAGCTCAGAAATACAGGCCTCAGAGATGGAAGTGGCCTCAGGGGTCTTCTGGTCCAACCCCCGGCTAGATACAGGTATCCTCTTTAGGCTTATTCCTTACAGGGAGCTTTTGATCAAGACCCTTTAAGGCCCCACAATGCTAGTAGAGAGAGGGCTAGTCAGGGAAACCCTAATTCACTTAGTTACTGTGTGACCTTGGACGATCCATTTCACTTCTCCCTGCCTCGGTTTCCCCGTTTATAAAATGGGGATCACAACAGCACCTACCTCACCTAGTTGTAAGGATCAGATGAGGTAATATATGGAAAGCGCTTTGCAGGCCTTAAAGTGCCAAATAATCGTTAGCTATTATTATTATTTGCCCACATTTGGAGATCCCCTCATCTCTGAATTGTGTCCGTCCTCCACCCCCAGCCTCCTCCTGACTCAGAAGTGGCCCAGACTCCGTCAGAAACGCCCAAGCTCAGGGGAGCCCCTTCTGATCTTGGAAGGCGTTGAATCTAGGCCTGGCAATGGACTGCGTGTGCGTCTGTCCCCTAAGGCCCTTCCTGGTCAGCAGCAGAGGGTGAATTTGGCTGGGGCAGCCCTGGAAACCAGCCACGACGGCTGGGAAATCCATGAGGTCTGGGAGAATGAGGAGGCCTGAGCTTGACCCTGGTCACTGACTAGCTTGGGGCACTTCCTTAACCTTCGATGGCCTTTCCCTTCCCCTAGAGCTGGAAGGGATCCCAGGGGCCAACTTCTACAAACCCTTCATCTTCCAGAGGAGGAACTAGCCTGAGGTTCAGGGAGCTAGTGACTTGCCCAAGGTCACACGGGTTTCATAAGCATCAGAGACAAGATTTGAACCCAGATCCTCAGACCCCAGAGCCAGTGTTCTTTTGCTTTGCCATGCAGCTCCCTAACCCCCATTTTACAGAAGGGGAAATGGAGGTCAAGATTTGTCCAAAGTCACACAAGTAGTGAGAGCCACGGTTCAAATCTCTGACGCCAAACCAGCTACTTTTCTACTGTATTGTACGACCCTGTCCAGTATTTTCTTGTCTACATCCATGTTCTCCCCACCCACTCCTAGCAGAATGAAAACTCCCTGAGGCAGGGCCTGCTTCTGTTTTGTCTTTGCCCACACCCAGTGCCAGGCAGAGGGCCAGGCATGTAATAAATGCTGCTCAGATGAAATGGTTGAATCACCGCTGGGGTGGGAGGAGAGGGAAGGGGCTGGGACAGACAGGCTCAAAACACCTGCTTGCCTCACCCTGGCAGAAGGGCCAATTCACGATAGAAAAGGATTCTGCCATGATTTCTTCCTGAGCAAGGCTAGAATCATTAGACCCAGAAAGAAGCAAAGGTTTCCAAGCCCATTTTCTGAAGCCAATTCAGCCCTGGCCGGGACCGGCTCTGGACCCTTCAAGGCCAGGTGCTTGTCATTCAGTGACGTTGGACTCTTCGTGCCCCGGTGGACCACAATGTCCATGGGGTTTTCTTAGCAAAGATACTGGAGTGATTTGCCATTTCCTTCTCCAATAGATTAAGGCCAACAGAGGTTAGGTGATTTACCCATGGTCACACAGCTAGTATCTGAGGCCAGATTCAAACTCAGGTCTTTCTGACACCAGGCCCAGGGCTCTATCCACTGAGCCACCTAGCTGCCTCTTTCAAGGCCCAGAGAGGGCAAGAATTGAGGCAGAGGGACACAGGGGATACTCACCCCCCAGAACCATGACCTTCTTCCTCGTGTCCTCACTCAGGAAGGGTTTGATGAGGTTGTAGGCCACGGGGAATATCTTGGGAGCTAGAACAGACAGACACAGGGAGAAATCACAAGGCAGCCAGGTCAGGACAGGGGCACTAGCCCACCTGCACACCTTCTGCCTACCTCCTTCACCCTCTTTCCCATTCCAGGGTGGCCCCTTGAGGCCCGGCAGAAAGCCTTGACTTCCCCCAGTCCCTGGCTGCTGGGCCCTTGTGTTCTCCTTCCACCACCCTGAAAGCCCAGGGCCCAGGTCAAGGCCTCCAGACTCACCTCTCCCGTCCTACCCCCCCCCCCCCAGTAGGAGGCAATCTCCTCCCCCATCCTTGAAGGCCCAGGGCCAGCGTCTCCACCTCCAGGGAGCCTTCCCGGCTGCCCCCAGCAGGGTGTTCTCTTCCCTCATCATAGATCCCAACACCCTGTCCTCCCAGGCAGTGACTGGGAGCAGTCTCTATCCCTCTCCCAGCCCAGGTCCTGGGGCACAATGTCCACCTAACCACTAAAGCAAACACTTATTTAACCCGACTTAGGCAAGACAGCTCGCTTGAGGTTAGGAAACAAAAATTCAACAAAGATCCCCGTGCCCACCCCCCCCCCCCCCCGCACCTTGGTTTCTTCATCTGCAAAAAGTCAAGAAAGTTGGACCAGGTGACCTTCAGGTCCCTTCCAAGCCCGAGATCTGAGCGCCCAGGACATAAGGCACGGTCCCTGCCTTCAGTAATAATAGCCGACCAATCCCACATGACTCCCCCGCACGCTCTCTGCATTCCAGCCAAACCAGCCCACTTACTGTTGCTGGGCACGACATTCCATCTTCCCGCCTCCCCACCTTTGCACAAGCTGTTCCCTCCTCCCCCCCATTCACTCCCTCCTGCCTTCCACCTCACGGAAACCCTAGGTCCCTTCAAGGATCAGCTCCAGTGCTGTCCGGTCCTACAAAAAGCCTTTCCTGACCCTTCTCTCTCACGGGTGCCTTCCCCCTCCTCAATTTTTTACTTATCCATAATCACATCATTTTTCTGACCTACACCCACCCCCCAACTGTGAGCTCCTTCAGGGGAAGGACTGTTTCCTGTTTTCTTTGAATCTCCAGAACCTAGCATAGCGTCTGACACACAGTAGGTGCTTAATAAATGCTAGTTTCATTAATTGACT